TTCTACCAAAGAAAGGTGAAGACGAAAGAAAGAGTACGAAAAGAGGGATGAGCGGACAAAGAATTCGTCGAATTCGACAGATGGCTTCACGTCAGTTACTAAAGAATTTCGTGGGTGGGTCCAAAGACCCAAAAACGTGTCCCTAAGGGCGTCAAAAAAGGGAACTTTATCATCCTCAATGTTATATTATAACTCTTTTGTAATATTTATATTATACTTATTTCGAAATATGTTTCTAAGATTTTTTTCTTGTTAATAAGAAATGGGGGGCCTTTATTTATTATTATTATTATTGTTATTTGTTAATATTAAAACCTTGTTTTGTAATATTTATGCAATACTTAGTTAGAAATATGTTTCTTTAGAGATTTGTGCCTTGTTTGTAAGAAATGCAAGGTTTCTTTATTTTATTATTATTATTATTTGTTAATAATATTATAAACTTTCTTTAAATATTAAAAAATAGAATAAGGAATTAATATAATTTAAAAAATAAAAATCTTACAGAATTTAGAAAGCAAACAAATTTGTTAAGTTACTATAAGTAAAACAGGGCTATCTTCTTTAGAAGAAGGTAGGTTTCTAGGTTTTTTTATTTTATCCTTATTATTATTATTATTTGTTAATAATTTAGGCTTCGTTTTAAATAATAAAAAATAGAGAAAAGGAATTAATTTAATTTAAAAAATAAAAATCTCACAATTGGGTTAGTTAAGAAGTTTTGTAAGTTACTGTAACTAAAACAAGGTTTATCTTCTTTGGAAGAAGGTAGGTCTCTAGGTTTCTTTATTTTATTATTATTATTTGTTAATAACAATATAGGCTTTCTTTAAATATTAAAAAATAGAATAAGGAATTAGTATAATTTAAAAAATAAAAATCTTACAGTTTAGAAAGCATACAAATTTGTTAAGTTACTACAAGTAAAACAGGGTTATCTTCTTTGGAAGAAGATAGGTCTCTAGGTTTCTTTATTTTATTATTATTATTATTTGTTAATAATATTATAGACTTTCTTTAAATATTAAAAAAATAGAGAAATAGAATTAATATAATTTAAAAAATAAAAATTGAGAAAGTTAATAAGCTTGTAAGTTTCTATAAATAAAACAATGAAAGGATTATTGTTTGAGATATTAGAAATAGTACAATTTGCTATTGCATATACATATAAATGATTTCTTTACTTTGTATAAATTGTATTTTTTAATTTTATTTATAAAATTTAATATTTAAGAAAAAACTTATTACAAACTTATAAAAAAAAAAACCTTACAGAAGATTTTCAATCCCATTTTTACTGAATTAATTAGAAACCAAAAAAAAAACTAAAAATGAAGAACACGATTAGGGACACATCACACCAATATTATAGTTATTCTATTTCCAATATCTCAGAACTCAGTAATTCGAATCGTTTATTATCTATTAAAAGAAAAGAAGAGCTTGACCTATGCGAACCCTTTTTCTACCTTGTTGCTTTGAAAATTGGTCTTCTCCAAATGAGGGTCATAAAAAGGAGAGGATAAAAAAAAGAAAAAAAATCATAGCAGGCGCCTGTATCTTCATTTTCATTAATTTTCTTCTTTCAAAAGTAGAACAACGATCTTAATGAGCCTCTTTCGTTTATCCTTCTTTTTTTTTTATTATTTCATAGAATTTCATCCTTTTAACAAAATAACTATAACCACAATCTTCCTTCTTCTTTTTCTATTCACGTGGGTGGAAGATTATATAATAACTGGGTTATTTTTCTAAAACTAAGTATTGAAAAAAAAAAATAAAAAAAAAAAAGGAAACAAAAAATTGGATCAAGGAAAGAGGGAGAGAGGGAGGGAGGTAGGGGGGTGTTATGGGGGTTATTATACTTACATTTTGTTTCTTCCATCTTGAAAGTAATCATGTTTCCCTTTTTCCCTTTCTTAGTGTTAGCCTAATCGTCGCGATCATTATACGAGATATTATGATGATGATGATGATGATGATGAGTATGATGATAGATTATTTAATATTGCAATTTTTATTATTTTCATTTTAAACGTATGACATTATTATAGTTATAGTATCTACAGGAAAAGTACGAAGTTATAAATTATGCTAATTATGTATATATATATATATATATTTATATTTATATTTATATATTAATCTGAGAGATAATAATCGATACGATATTAATAAGATTCTTCCTTTCTTCTTATCTTTATCTTTCTTTTCTTTCATCTTATACGAATGCGATGATATTATATATTTTTTAATTTTTTTTTTTTTTATTAGAAAACACGATAGTAATAGTAAGGTGGATTATAATAATGTTTAATCTAAACGTCGATTTGTATGATAAGAGAGAAAATTACTATGATATTTTAAAATATAACTCGATGATAGGTTAATATTATCATATCATATATTGATGATTGTGAGATTGTTCATGTGATTTTTTTCTTCTAATGTGATAAAAATGGGATTAGCTAATGGGACAAGAAAGATTACAAAAATAATGTGTGTGTGTGTGTTGTGTGTGTATGTGTGATTCTTTGAAAAGCATTTAACGATAGAAGGCACGACAAATTGCTACGCGTAAATGACGATTATCTTCTCGCATAATTGATTTTTAATCTTGTTTTTTCTTTTTCTTTTAAACATCACGTTTAGCATTGATAATTTATTATCATATATGTATATATCAATCAAGTTATGCGAGTTTAGTTTCTTCTTATTTTGCCTTGAGCCTCCCTCGTACGAGAATTGTTTAAAGAAGATATTTTTTGTGATGTAAAAATCGATTATGATACTGATTGAGGTCAAGCAATTATTATAAGATGTGAAGTGAGGATGAAATCTCAAAAATTCTTTCAAAGAACACTCGTCTGCAATTATTTTTTTAAATTTATATATGTATGTATATATATATATATATATATATATATATATATATGTGTGTATATATCTATATTATGTGTTAATAACAATGCATAATAGCGCAAATTTATTTTTTTTTTTTTTTTAAGACATCTTGCAATGTTTGATGATAAATTTGTATTATATGTTAGACGAAGGTTCTTTTTCTTCTTTTTGTTTTTTTTTCTGGGGAGGGGGGGTTATTTTTCTAATTTGAAACGCCATTTTTATCGATCTTAACACACTCATTTTTTTTTTGGTTATTGTTTCTTTGTTTGTTTGTTTGTTTGTTCGGTTGTTTTYTTCTTCTTCTTTACTTTTCGTTTTGAAATACATTGAATTATTTTTATTATTTATTGCACCACGCATGCATGTATTCTCGCATTTATTTCAATTGATTTTTTCCTCGTTGATGAATAAAAAAATAAATATATATATATATTTGTTTGTATGTAACCCAAAAAAAAATGATTCCATTTTGTAAATATTGATTTTATATGGAAGAATCAATCAATAGTATTTTTGTTGTTGTTGTTGTTGTTGACAGTATCGATTAACAAAAATCAGATTTATGATAATTATGTATTTACAGTGTTAACACAAATTATTGTTGTCATTCAATGCTGATATTCAAAAAAAAAAAAAAAGAAATGAAAAACGCTTCGTGTAAAAAATATAAAATAGACGAACAAATGAAATTTAACATATTTTCTTTCATTTTTCATCTTCATCTTCATCTACTACTTTCTGATTTTTTTGTTTTGTTTAAACAATTACTTTACTTTCAAAGAACTTTGGTGATTGCGAAAAGCAAACTTAAATTTCTAAACTCATCGATGTTGTGAACATTTTTCTATTTTATTCGTATTACTATTGTGTTCTCAAAAAAACAAAAAAACAAAACATTGATTTTAATCTTTTTTTTTTTTTTTCATTTTGTTGTATCTCGTTTAGCGGAGTGCGATAAAATAAACGATGACACTACTACGAGCTTTTATAATTGTTTGTGTGTGTTTTTTATTTATTTTTTTTTTCTCTTAATTAGTTCTTCTCTGTCTCCTTTTTTTTGTCTTTTTTTTTTCTTTTTCTTACTTTTTTTCTTTTTTATTTTTTTTCTTTTCTTTAATACGAATAAATATACTTATACGGTTACGTACGCATTAAATATATTTGTATATTTGGCGTGATTCGTAAATCGATAATAATAAACATACATGAGCATAGTTTTTTTTTTGTTATCCGTGTGCGAATTTAATGATAGTATTTTATTTATTATTAAAAAAAAAAAAAAGGAAAAGCAATATTACACACAAATTAAAAAACATTGATTTGTTTATAACTGATTGACACGAAAAAAAAAAACAAAAAAAAAGCAAGGAAAATTAACTACAATTATTTAACTAAAAATTAAATTACACGAGAAAAATGTTTGCGCGTATTATTATTATTATATTACTTGTTCGTAAATTAAAAAAAAAAAAAAAAATAATAATAATAATAATAAAATCATGAATGATAACGAATGTAAATTAATAATAATAAAAAAAAAAGAAAAAATAGAAACGAAACGATGACCGAAAAAAGAAAACTAAAAGAAAATTAAGAGAGCATTGGAAAATAAAATAAAATAAAATAAAAAAAAAAAAACATAACCTTAAAATAACGTAGACTGTACAAAAAACAAAAAGCACGTATCATTTCGTCTAATCCTTTGATGATCCCATAATTGAAAATTATTTTTACGTCGTTAACGTATTTACATTACTAACGTAATACAATTGTAATCATATATATATGTATAAAAAAAAAAAAGAGAGATAGATAGATTCAATCAGAATAATTTCGCATAACAAACATAAAGTTTTGTCAAATTCGTTTGACTTTTCGATGATCCATCTTAACTTTTTCATTCTTTCTTTCTCTCTTTCTTATTTCACATTTTCTTTTTTTATTGAAAACGTATTATTTATATATATATATATATAAAAAAAAAAAAACACATTCTCGTCAAGTAATACACAGACAACGAGAATTTAATTATTCTCCTTTTCGCAGTCTTATAAAATTCCCAATCGCAGTTTAACGATTCCTTTCTTTTCTTTTTTTTTTAAACTTACTTAATCAAACTTCAAACTTCGAATTTCCGTCATTTTTTTCTTAACTTAACCTCTACACTTCGCTTGACATTTTTTTTTTTTTTTTTTAATTATTTTTGTTCGTGTTTCTTTTCAATAAACGAGATACTCAAAAGCGCAATACAGTAAACGATATTATGATCAATCCGTATTTTCTTTTTTTTTCCATTTTTTTTCCTGTTAATAATAATAATTCTAATGTGTGCGTGCACATTTTTAATTGGTCAAAAACGAAGCATGAAATAAACTTATGGGGACCTGTTGTGTTAGTCCTTTATTTTATTATCGAATACAAATCGTTTGTTTTACGGTGTCTTGTCTTTTTTTTTTTAATATTTTTACTTATTCCACACGATCATTTGTTTCGTCTTTGATTTAAAAATTAATGAAATGAATAATACTTGAATGAAATAAAAATTACTTGAACGTAGAACAAACGATCATTCGATAATTGCAATGAATGATCATTACAAAATGGATAAATAAATAATATTAATAATAATAATATTAATAGTAATAATAACGTATGAGAAAAAATACAAGATTTTTTGTTTTCCTTCTATATGGGTGGTAAGGCCCACAATGTTGCAGTTTTATCAGCCGACGTGCTGAGAAATGAGAATTCCGTTGGATGCCAACGTCCTGATATTACTTTGTCCTGGTGTTGAGCTACCACCACACTTGGAAGTGGCATTGTTAAATCACCTGAAATACAAAATTTTAAGGTTTTTTTTTTTTTAAATTATCTTTAATTATCTTTAATTTGAGTTATCTAAACGCATATATGAGTACTTGGTTAAAGTTTCAAAACAAAGTTGAGTTATTGTAGCATAATATTATGAACAATTTTGTCAATTTTAAATGCAAATAATGTAAGAAAGTATGATTATTAAAATATAATTATTAAATATAATTATACTTTATAAATATATTAATTATTAAATATAATTATATTAAATTAAATTAATTAAGTAAAAGTT